TATGTAGAAGGAAAGAGTAATAAAATGTGATGCTCCAGGGAATAAAATAATCCTTGTAAAGGTCAGGAAGCTCCTTAAATGTAACTGCACATCAGTCCAGATGCATTTTAATTTGTTTGTATTTTGTGTCCTTGGTTGGACATGATATCCTTGCCTGAATTCCTCAAGGCCAAACACCTTATTGGGTGGACAGAGAAACCTTCCCCAGCTCTCTCAGGATATGTTCCATCCTTTGAAGCACGAGGCAGATGATTTCTGTTACACTCCTGTCCCATTCCTGCAAGACTTGACACACTCCAAGGTCTTGGTGGCATTTCATCCTGTGACTCCACGGTTTTGCTGTTACAACACTGTCTCTAATTATATCAGGATTAACTTTTCACCCCAAGCTGTCCACCTTGGGCATGAGGGTTGATTCCTGCGGCGCGGAGTTTCATGGCTTGGCTGTCAATGTGCTCTGTGCTTCGGTCTTAGATCAGCTGAGGTCGCTTCCTGTCGTAAGCCAACAGCACATTCGGTGTTAAAATGAGAAATTATCTTTTTTCCTGCTTTTCTTCCACCCCACATCAGCTTATCCCAGCCTTGTGCTTACCAGGGAAGTGGAGCTAGAACAGCTTTCAATCACCCAGCCTGGAGGTCCCATCACTGTCATCCTGGAGCAGGGCCTGACAAACTGTGTCCCCTCATCTCAATGCCCCAGCTCCTCCACATCCAGTGTATGGTCACATCTATTAAATCAGCCCATTTGGCCCCTCTGCCAGGTCAGCCCCACTCCCCATGGCCCAAGCCCACTTCTTCCTGCTTGCCCAAAGGCTTCTCAGCTGCATTCCAGGTTCCTGTCATCCACATTAGATGACACTTGGTGCTCACTTAGGGCAATTTACCAGGCTGGTTAGAATATGAGAGCTCTGAAATTTATTTCACACTTGTGGAACAAACCCAGACCCAACTTTTTCACAACGGCTGTCAGTGATGTTCACAGCATCCTGAAATGCTCGGGTGGAATTTGCTCGTGAGCTTTGTAGAATTACCCTCTGGGAGAGAGCAAATATGGGAGAATTTGAACTAGAAAAGACAATTTACATTGTTGAAGTGTTAAAACATGACAGAGCTGTTACCTCAAATCTGTATTATAAAAGTACTTAAAGACTTGATAAAATACAGGATTTTCATAGAATCACAGACTGGTTTGGGTTGGAAGGGACCTTAAAGCCCATTTTGTTCCACCTCCTGCCATGGGCAGGGACATCTTCCACTGTCCCAGGCTGCTCCAAGTCCTGTCCAGCCTGGCCTTGGACATTTCCAGGGATCCAGAAACAGCCATAGCTTCTCTGGGCACCCTGTGCCAGGGCCTGCCCATCCTCCCAGGGAACACTTCCTTCCCAATATCCCATCTAACCCTGCTCTTTGGCAGTGGGAAGCCTTGTCCTGTTACTCCAGGCCTTCATCTAAAGTCCCTCTCCAGCTCTCCTGGAGCCCCTTTAGGCAATGGAAGGTGCATAATACAGATCATATCACACAATACAGATACCTGAGACATCTTCAAAGAAGTACTCAGTAATCTCTGCAGTCATTTCATGGTCTTGGTCTCCTCCCAGCCTTCAATCAGAGATGTTTAGAGTGATCTCTGCCACTTCCAGAGCTAAGACAGCCCCATTTCCTCCTTCCCCAGCTCTCCTGGAAGAATCAGTGATCCTTCTGCACTCCCATACCGGTGAGAGTTCCCACCACAACTCTGGAACATCATGGCTTTGGTTACGACTTTGCACCATTGGCTGAGCCCAAACTAACAAAAAACCATCCCCAAACTGTCTGGCTTTGTATTTTCCTGGAGTCTAAGTCCTGTTAAAGCAATTAGATCATCTTTTCTGCGTTTTTGGATGTCTCAAGTCAGCGCATTTCAGGTGAACATTGAGCCCCGTCACTCAGGCCAGATTAAAACCCAGCAGCCCTGGGGAGAGCAGAGCTGCTGTGGGCTGACATGGGAAGTGACGAGGTGCCAGCATGGGCCTGGCACTGCCATGGAGGGTTTGACAGCTCACAGCAGCACCCTGGTCCTTCAGCCCGATGAAAGGAGGATGATCCAGGCACCCTGAGCCCTCTCCCTCCCCAGCTGGCACAGGACACTGAACTTTCAGACTGGATCACCTCAAAGCACTTGGACAAGGCAAGAAATCCTCGTGGCTTCACCTCCCAGCTCCCTGCTTGCAGGCTGAGCCCTTCCTCCCAGTCGCTGAATTAAAACCGTGTGGTTGAAATGAGCTAATTTTGCTTGAAAGGCTGCAAGCCCCGGTGCAGGCACCGCTCCCCTCGCACGCTGTCGCAGTACGCAGCCACTGTTGCTGCAAGAGAGCTGTGGCTCATTTCAAGGTTGAATTTGTCCAGCTTCAGTCCCTGGGATATTTACATCTCTGGAAATTATCTGGGGATGCTGCAGTCCGTTATAGCGGAGCTGTTGCTTCCCTTGGTCAGATCTCTGGGCAAGTGCTTGGATTTTGATACTGTAATGTCCCTACATACACCCTTTTCTGTATTCTGTATTTTTATTAAGGAAAACATCTTTTATTTTCAAGCTTTTCTTTGCAATTGCAAGGAGCAGATACTCTTTTTAAATGACAAGAGATGAGAATCTCGTGCATTTGCATGACTCCAATGGTTTCAAAAGCTCCTTTAACTAAACCATTGCCCAGATTTTACCAAAGACACGTGGGGCTGATGTACGTGAGGGCCACTGACACCCAGCACGGAACACATGAGCCCTGAAGTACCTAAAATTATCTCATGTTGGCTTTTGAAGATAAGTCTCCACCCTCCATTCAGAATGACAACTTTTGGCAACAACAAGAAAACAGAAATGACAGATGGCAACAAAATCTGGTACACAAACATGACAGTAGGCAATATAATGAACATTTCACCCACTCCTTCATTTATGCTAATCGGTGCTTTTGAGCAACCGGAATTGTTCTGCCAGACAGCCGCGGATCTGAAGCACGGCACAGCAAATCTCAGAGGGCCACCAACCTGAAACCAGGGTAAAACCCCACCAGGGACTCACTGTGAATGAAATTAAGGTATCACTAAAGTCCAACCCTGAGAAAATCCCCTCACTCCTAAAAAGCACACAGACCTCTCCTCCTGCTCTGAAATTCCTGCCCTGAAAACACCACATCCACAAAACAGAGGAAGTTCGGTTTTCCTGCTACCCAAAGCTTCACCAAAATTCAGAGGAAGCAGCAGAAATGAGAAGTAGCAGCCTGTATAGCAATATATATAATATATATATATAATGTATAGTAGTAGCAATGTGAATTGCGCTAAATAAAAGTATTTGTTACGGCAACAAAAATTGCCTTCAGAAAGCGCTTTTCTCCCAGACTCAGCTCTCTGGGATGGACTCAGTCCCTGCAGGAAAATGGTTACTCTCTCAGTCCCTGCAGGAAAATGGTTACTCTTCCCTTTCAAGCCCACTTATCTCACACTGACATTCTCAGCGGAAGGTGCTATGTCACCCACAAACCTCCTTTTATTTCCTATAAAAATGTAAATCAGCCTATTTTTTTCCCCCAACAACGTTATGTAATGAGCAGTGTCCTCGCTCAATCATTTTGAAGACGTGCTTTAGCCTCTATTTTATGCAGGAATCTGTAAGACTGAAACCATTCCTCCCCTTCCTTCCCTGATATTTCAATGCTTGCTCCTTTGCCTGCTGATGCAAAGCTCTGTGGCCATTCCTGGCGTGGGCAGGACCTAAAAACATCTCAGAGGGCAACAGCAACATCCTTATATTCTCTGAAGGATATAAAATAAGTTTTCCCACAAGTTAATTGCCATTGCTTTCAGGAAAAAAGGGGCAACCTTGAACACTTGCCCTCAGAGCCAGCTGGGATGTGTAATTGTACAAATCTGTGTACATTTGTAATTGTAAATGAGGCTAGTCCTCCATGATCAAAATTTCAAGACACTGCCCTTTACTGGACCAAATTTTCCTTTGCTTACAGCACTGTCACATATTTCCCACAGCAGATGAAATGCTCTCTTCTGGGGGCACAATCACAGTGAAAACACAGGAAAAATAGGAAATTTTGGTCAAAACATTTCACTTGTTTTTGAGGGCAAAAACCCCCATGGTCTTGGCGGGTTTTCAGTATCCAGGTCTGAAAATCCTACACTTGTCCCCAGGAGAAGGGGCTGGAGATAATCTTTGTGTCAGCAATTAATCTCACAGAACCAGAAATCATGAAGATCCACCCAGACTTCTCTGACCTGGGGAAATCTTCACTTCTCCTGCTTTCCACTATCCCAGGCTGCTCCAAGCCCCATCCAGCCTGGCCTTGGACACTTCCAGGGATCCAGGGACAGCCACAGCTTCTCTGGGCACCCTGTGCCAGGGCCTGCCCACCCTCCCAGGGAACAATTCCTTCCCAATATCCCATCTAACCCTGCCATTCGCTGTGTCCTGTCCCTCCATCCCTTGTCCCAAGTCCCTCTCCAGCTCTCCTGGAGCCCCTTTAGGCCCTGGAAGGGGCTCTGAGGTGTCCCTGGAGCCTTCTCCTCTCCAGGTGAGCACCCCCAGCTGTCCCAGCCTGGCTCCAGAGCAGAAGGGCTCCAGCTCTTGGAGCATCTCTGTGGCCTCCTCTGGACTCGCTCCAGCAGCTCCATGTCCTTCTGATGGTGGTGCCCCAGAACCAGGGGCAGCTCTGCAGGTGGGATCTCACCTGAATCCCACCCTCACCTCCTGCCCATGCTGTGGGATGAGCCCAGGATAACACTGGCTTTCTGGGCTGCCCCTTCAATCCATAGGTACTGAATGTCACCTGCTAAAAGATAAGCAAATCCTATTTTTGTTTTGTTTTTTGTTTGTTTTATTTTGTTTATTTTGTTTTTGTGTTGGGTCTTTTTTGAGGCTTTACACACATAGGCATCCCCTACCACCATACTCTCCCTTTCTTCTGCCTAATTTCAGAGTAAGGAAGCCACACATGATGTTTTCTCTCCAGGACACGGTGAACTGGCTGGCAGGTTGTCTGATGAGAAGGAATCTGCACCGGGACTGTGAAGAAGTGGGATCGTCTGCCTGTTGTTTGCCACGGGAAAGGGAAGATCCCTGCGTTCAGCTGCTACTGAAACCAGGAATGCCAGCTCAAAACCTGGAACATCAGCTTGGGAGGACCCTGCTCTGATCTGCTGTGGCTGAAGGAGGCTCAACCCCACGTCCTCGGCCACCCAGGTGCGTTCACAGGGGTCCCACAGCCGGGGGTCCCTGGTTGCCCCGGAGCTGCCTGGCTATGATGGCGTGTGTGGGGCACAGGGGGCCGGGATGTGCTGGTGGATGGTCTGGGTTGCTTTGCTGAAGCCTGGGCCAGGACCCCCGACAGCCTCCAGCTCTGCCGGGGCCGTCCCCACGTCCCCAGAGGCTTTTGCCCGCTCGCTGGACACGCTCAAAGTTCACGGTGCTATAAATACCCGGGCACAGGGCTGCCAGCGGGGCCGGCCGGCGCGGGGGGGGCTGCTAAAACCCAACGGGCTTGCCTTGCAATTAACCCTATGCGTGCACGAGTCCCCCCTGTGCGCCTTGGAAAAGAGGAATCCTCCCATTGGAAATGTATCTAAAGCCAGAAGAGAGCAGCAAACTCCTTCAGTGGGCTGATTCCTGCTGGGAAGAGCCCTGGGATTGCTACCAAGACTGGAAGAGCACAGGGTGCTGGAGGAAGTCGCAGTGGATGGGTGTTTTGTGGACAGGCACATCTGCAGCTGCTGTGTGAGGCCCCAGCTTGGGCAGGTCCTTGTGGTGGGGATGCAGTGATGTGGATCCAGCATGGATTGGGTACCCCACAAAGCAGAGGCTGCCGGTGCACCCCACATTCCCCACAGAGCGTGGCTTCATGCTACACAACCCCACGCCCTGCCCCACATGGCCCCACAAGCACAGCCCCACACCCTGGCCCCCATAGCACTGCAGGGAACACGGCCCCACACCCTGCCCCACATGTCCCCACAAGCACAGCCCCAGCCCTGCCCTGCATGCCCCCATGCACCGCAGCCCGGTGCCCCCCAGCCTGCCCCGTGTCCCCGGCACCACGTGCGGGACTCGTTCCCAGCAGAAGCGCCAAAACGCATCGTAAAACTTGGCTACAGAAATGCAGTAAATCAGTACAGGCTGTAACCCCTGCCTGGGGACAACCCCAAAATGTGCAGTCCCCAGTGGTGGCAGGTCAGAGGCAGAGCACAGCACATCACCTGCAGCGGGCTGTGAAGCGCTCCCTGGGCAGCCGAACCGGGGAGACGCCTGTGACCCCACCCACAGCTGGACAGAGCCTTTTTGCGGCGCCACACGTTATCTGTTTAACCATTTCCACACCTTACCCTGCCGGGCTGAGGGGACAGCCAGTCTCTGAGGAAGAGCCTCTTGCCCCTTTCGCCTGCCCAAAGCACAGGATAGGAAGCTCGGGGAGAGCAGAGGACGAGCCGGCAGCGCAGAGCCCCAGGGCTGTGTGCTACCCCCGGCTCCCGCTGAGCCTGGACACAACTCAGTGCACACATGGCTCAGGGACAGGCTCAGGACTGAGCAAGGTCCTGGTGACCACAGGTGATCTCCAGCTCCACCAGGGCCAGACTGCCTCGAGCACGGGACCGCACATCCCCACGACCTCGCAGGCCGGGGCTGACCCTGTGCCCTGCCCTCGGGAGTGTCGCAGCAGCGAGGCACCCTTGGCCTTGATTAGGTCACAGTGCCACCAGAACAACCTCATGTCAGCCTGGGAAATGTCACCTTTTGGGTCCCTTCAGGCCAAGCAAAGGCACATTCATCACTCTCCACCATCTCCTCCCAGCACCACTGCAGCTCCCGTGATGCCAAACACCTCCTTGCTGCAGTTGGATGTCGTGGTTCTTCCTGCCGCTTACTTGACCAGGATTTTGGGTTATTCAGGTCATCGCTCCTGTGGCCGACAGGGTCCTGCCCCACAGCAGTGCCCTGCCCCGTTCCCCACACTCCCTGTGCCGCTCTGGGATGTGGCTGTCCCAGAGCTGGTCCCCTCAAGCCGGGGGCCGCTGCCAGCGGCACTGCCGGGCTCTGTGCACGGCGCAGCACCGGAGCAAAGGAGCCTGGCGGGTGGCACTAGGGGGAGATAAAGGCCGGGACATGCCGGGCCCTGAGCCCTTGCCAGCCCCTCCTGTCCCCTTGTCCCCAAGGCCACCCTGGCACCAGCTGCTGGCGGGGACAAAGGAGAGAACTGCAGGTTTCCACCTATCACAGTCCCGTTGCTTTGTGGGGTCTTTTTCAGTCTTTGGGAAGCATCTTTGGAAACAAAGGCATTTACACCTTCATGCAGCAGGTATAAAAGCAAGAAACTACCTTCTCCCACGTGCAGGTATAGCACATGGACACCCCAAAAGCCATGCAGAAAGGAGGAGAACAGATATAACGCCCAGAACGGGGGTCAGCAGGGAAGGATGAGTCCGGGAACATGGCCTGGAAGCAGAGTGACACATGCTGCAAGACCTCAGCTGGGGGCTCAGCCTGTCACATCTGACTCCCCTTTCCTAATCCCCCTAAGTGCACTTGGCATCAGCACAGCTGTGACAGCCTCTACGGGACCCCACCACCAGCAAACTGGGCACCTTCAGGCTAAAAATCATTTCAGGGGACTTCTGGGTCAAGGTACCATCCCGGTATCATACCAGCTCCTCAGCTCCCATGGATGTTCTCTTCTCCCTGGGCTCCCTGCAACCCCTCTCAGCAGAAATGAGTTCACCAGGCAGAGTTTGGGAGAGCTCCTGGGAGACAAGCACCTGAACCAGCAGGACCTGTTCCCAACAGAGCTGTTCATGGCCAGCTGGATCACAGTGGCACCCAAAGGTGCAGTTGTGGCTCCCGTGGTGTGAATCAATGCTGGATGCTGGGGCAGGCACTGTGCAATGGCAGCTCTGCAGGCAAGAGCCACACAAGAGGGGGCACTTTCCCCTTGTATTTTCTATGGATTAGAAAGAAAAGTTAATTTTTCCAGGAGGAGGGATTCAGAGTGTGGTTGGCACAGAGTTGTCAAAAAATGCTTCCAATACAGGTTTGTACATCACTTGCAATGCCATCAAACCACGGTGCCCTGGGGGCCTGGCCTCACTGGGTACCTGCCTGAGCTCCCCCCAAAAAACTCTCCCCCACAAACTCTACACAAAAAACACCCCAAACCATCAACCCACTGCAAAGTTGTGTTTTCTCTTCCACTGCCCAGTTTGGTCACAACCACAGCACACAGAGGCAACACTTGCCCTGCAGCCACATCTCTGGTTTGCTCATATTTACAATTATTTAGAGCTCCAGCTCCACAGTTTCCAACATTCTCTCTCCTAAACTTCCCGACTGCCAGCGCTGGAGGGGAACGGGGCTGGTAACGTGATAGGGATGTTGGCCTCGGACCAGGAGGCTGGATGCAGAGGGAGGAAGGCAGAGGGGTGCCCAGGCTGGGGTGTTATCCAAGCCCCTGCAGGAACAAGGTGTCTTTGGCTTAACATGAGCTGGCAAGAGCAAGAGGAGGGAAGGAGATCCTTCGTCAGCACTTTGCTATGCACTGTGCTCCCTGCTCTCCACTGCCCGGACACACGGACTCACCACTGCCGTGGTGGCAGGACAGCTGTTCCCAGGGCTGCTCCTCCTGGGTGCTTTCTCCCTCTCAAGCCTGCAAAATTCCATGTTCTGCTTCAGCTTGGTTCCAAACACATGCCCAAAAATCAGAAACCAACACAACATCACTGCTTTTCTCACATTGCAAGGTGAGCGAGGCACACGCAGCAGCACCCGATGGGTCACCTCATGTGCCGAGTGTCCACTGACAGAGGTGGCTCCAACACAAAGCTGGTGTATGAAAGAGCTGATGTCTGTGCCCAGACCCTGTCACAGCCCCTAAACCCTCAGGGGGCTCTGGCACAAGGCTGGGGTTTGCATTGTCCCTTACCCGGGCAGATCCATGGGTTTGCAAATCAACCTCGAAGTAAAGGCTCATTTTTTCTGCTATTTTTCAGTAAGTTAAATAAGCACAGAAGCATTCCTTGAGATTGCTGAAGGCACCCAGTACTGTGACTTCAGCACAGCTTCTCCCCTGTGAAAAGCATCATGTGCCACCATGGAATGCCAGTCCAGGATCTTGGGCTGCAAACAGGCAGGGATTTGGAGTTTGTTTCAATTGTTTCCGTGCTGGTTCTTTGCTTTGAACAGATCATTCCTAAGATCGTGCCATTCTGCCACATGTTCTAGACATCATTTCCCATCTCCTAGCTTGGACACAGCCTTTGAAAAAGGACATTTTACCTCCAGTGTGCCCCTGGCACTAACACAGCCCCTCTGCAGGCAGAGCTGGGCTCCTCCCAAAGGTTCCTGCTCCCAGGCACCTTGTGCCAAGCCCAACATGGTCACTTTGTCATTGAGTGTCAAGTACAAAGCATATGCAGGACAAATGGGTATGAGGTTTGTAAGATAATTAAGCATGTTAATGAAGTTCATTTACATCTAGCTCTTAAATTCCCATTAACTCTGTGAGGCTGGGAAATAAGAATTGCTGCTTGATGTCGCAAAGCAACAGAAGTTTAGTTACCAAAAGCAAAGTTGTGATAAATGAGTGAGACCCAAAGCTGCTGTGGCCTGGCTGGGCACAGCCCTGGAGGTCCCCCTGGCAGACCCACAACACACCATGATGCTCCTCAGGCCACTGCAGTGGCCACAGCCATTACTGCAAACTGCTGTGGGTTTTGCTGCACTGAAATGTCACAGAACCAGAGAAAGCAGGGGGAAATCATTGCTCCAAAGAAAGATTTGACCCAGCAGTGAAGGAAAAGCTCTTTGGTGTGAAAAGGAAAGTCAGTGGCTGCCCCTGAAGCAGGACCAGGGCAGAGTCCTTTGATGAAATCGTGGTGCGGGCACAGCAGAGACAGGCAGATGGGCATTCCTTGGGCAGAGATGGAGTTCAGGGTTTTGACCCAGAGCTGGAGCAGCCCCAGGAAAACATCTTGGATTGGAGATCCCCAGGAAACCCCCAAGGATACCCCAGGGGAACCAGGGCAGGAGCTGGCAGGTGTGCTCCACACCCACCTCCTACAGTGCTGGAGCTGGGAGAGCACTGGGGTCCTAATGTGTGGCCAGAGGTCACCTGGAAGTTCTCACTCCACAGGAAAGCTGAAATATCACCTCTGGGCAAGCAAGGAGGGCAAAGGCTGGACAGTTTCCAGCCACCCACG